TCTTATCATTGGTATCAAAAATATTACTTGACTTTTCTTGGTTACTAGAAGTTAAGTTTTTGAGTGAAAAGATTAGTAAATAATAGAAGAAGGGTAGAAATGACTCTTGAAGTTATATTTCAAGTTGTTTTAAAAAAAGTGTTAAGACTTTATTAGTAAAGAAGTATAAAAACTTCTTATAAATATCTTTTTTATGTATAATCAAAGGATTAGTAAAAAGAGTCACATCTTTAATTAGCTCAATAATATTTTTTTTTAATTTTTTAAAAAAAATTTATCTATCTTAGTTTAATTCTAAATTTTAAGTTGTACTAAGTTTTTTATATAATGATTGAAAATAAATATATATTAACAAAAGAAAAAAACAAGCTTTTATTGATTATTTAATGTACCTAAATATTTTTTTTCAATTTTTTAAAAATTTTTAATTCATTATAAATTATTTATATAATATATAAATAAATATAAAACACCATTTTAATAATATTATTGATTTCTTTTAAAAAAGTCTACTTAATTATAATAAAAGTTATAAGATATTACAATTATTTTTGAAGTTATATTTACTTATTTATATTCTAGATAAGTTCTTTCAAGTTTTAATAAATAAATAAAAATTTAACTTGAATAAAGAAACAAAGTTGGATTGTTATAACAATTATTAGATTTTTTATTTTTTTAAATACTTTTTTATTTTAAAGATAATATAATTTACTTGTACATATTTGTTTAAATAAATTTAAGGAATTGATATATCCTCTTTCTTTAATATATAAATTACATGATTTCTTTTATTACTTTTGAGCAATAAGTTATCCAATATTAGTTTTACTAATTAAAAATATTTTATTTATAAACAATTCTTTGTACTTACTTTATTATGAATACTTAAAAGATTAAATAAAATGAAGCCAAGCCACCTATTAAAAAAATACTAAATATATTTTAGTTTTATATATATATATAATTTAAGTTAAACTAAATCTTTTATTGATAAACTTGTTTTTAAACTGAAATCTTTAAAGATTATGAAAATAATATATATATTATAAATACTTTGAATAAATATTTTTTTAATAATCCATATTATTATCAATCAATTAATAAAGTTGATTATTTGCTATAATATTATATAATATAAAAAAATTATATTAGAGAAAGAGAATAAAAAGAAAGAAAAATATAGAATTGTTTAATCATTTTATATAAAAGAAAAGAATATTCTTTAAAAGATTCGGTGCTTCTTGAAATCTTTGCTCAATAAATTGATGTTTTTATTTGGATATCTTTTCTTCTAATTATCTAAGAAACTCATTTATCCTTGATCTTAATTTTTTTTTTAATCAAAGATTATTTTATTTAATTTATTACTAAATTTATTAAAAAAAAACAGAATAGTTATATGCAATATTATATATTCAAATCCATATAATAATTTATTTAAATGATACCAAATATCTTTTATCAAAGTAATAACAATTACCGTATATCGACCTTTAGTATGCGTCATGAAAAGGGTTGGAAAATCAAGGATTTATAAGAAAATTTATCAAAAACTTCATGTCTTCATCATAAAGTTTGATGATATCTTTTAAAGGTATGCCGTACAATATCTATAAATTATTAATTTTCGCATTTTTTTTAGTCTTTCAATTCACGAATTAAAATTTTTACAAGAAAAACTTTTTTGCCAACAAATTTTGCATTTTAAAGTATACAGTACAAATAATAGACTCACGAATATATAAAAAGTTTTTTAGAATTTTGCAAAATTTATTTGAATGATTATATTTTAAAAAAAATCAATCATTTCAAAAGAGCAATTTAGAAAATTCAGAAAACAAAAAAAAAAAAAAAATTTTTTTTTTTGTTTTTCTTTTATTAATACCAATCTCAGATTTCTTTCGGCGTTCGCACAATATTGTTCAAGGAATGATGCAAACAAATCGAAAAAATTCCAATTGCATAAAATGAATAAATAAATAGCTGCACATTCGTCAACACTTTCCACAAAGATCGTTCGGAGGCGTCAGTAGGATAATATGATGTACTGTATGTAATCAATGCTAATATTATCTAAACAAATTATAAATATCTCACATATTAATTAAATAAGTGAAATGATATGAATAGCCGAAATTGGATTTCATATTAGTTTAAAAAAAAAAAAATTTTTTTTTTGTTTCGTCAGAAATATTGAGTAATAAAGTTTTCATTAAATCGAATTAATTAATGTAATTTTAGAAGAAAGTTGGTTGGTTGCCTTCAAACACTCATGTACACAAATAGATTACGAAACTCTTTATTAAATTGTTGGGCAAGTAATATAACTGACGTACAAATTTTTATTCGTCGAATGAGTAAATGCAAAGCCACCGTCACGTGGAGTGATCGTCGGATACATGATATGTATAGAATTTTATTAGTTAATGGTTTTTGTTTGGTTCGTTTTTTCGGCAGGATTACAGAAAATACTTCCATGGAGAAGTGAGATGATGGTGATACTATTTACAAGAGAGAATCGGTTGACAAAAACTATAAACAAAAGAAGAATGAGAGTAAGGGAAACTATGTATATGGAATGTATGTGTTGTGATATCAGGAGCGCGAAGATTGATTATGTAAGGAAAGTATGAGAATTATATTTAATATTTTGTAATTAATTTAAATCGCGTGTCGATAATATCACATGATGAAGAAAAGGGTAGAGCTTGAAATTGAAGCTTTAAATCCGCCCACACCAAAGATTCTAAATACAAATACAATTTTTTCTATTTTTTTTTCTTTTTGCTTTTGATGTTGAGAAATGTCTAGACTAATAATGTAAATTTTCTCGATGAATTAAACAAAGTCTTTTTTTTTTTGTATGTATTACTAGATAGATAAAGTACTAAATTGAAGTACTTTTAATAAAATAATAAAATGAATCAATCAAGATTTTTTTTTCTTTAATAATAATTGCAAATTTTTTTTTTTTTTTTTCAAGTATTGTGTAAAAGAAATAAACCTGACTGCGCGTTTTACGCACCATCGGGTTTTCCAAATGTTCAAGTGATTTGATAATATTGAATTCAATTACTGCTCTCACGAAAATGATTTCCATGTCACAGTATTGATTTCAGAATATAAGGATTTTAAAGGAGTGTGTTAGTACCGTCGTGATGTGGAGGAGTAATGTATTATGAAATTGGAGGATATCGGTGGTAGAACCATCTTGTTATCACGACCACTGCAATAGGAGGGGAAGTGCGAGACGCCTGCGTCTGGCGGATTCAAATTGGCGGTGATGGTGGAGGGGGACGTCGGCTTTGACAAACTTTGGTAATTCCATTGTTGTGGAAGGAAGGAAGGGAGTGACAGTTGTTGCGACGATTGGTATTTTAGTTGATAATATTGGGATTGTAATTGTTGAGGCTGTTGAGCGGTCGATGTTACTGGAGTGTTTAATGATGAGGAGGAGGAAGATGAGGAGCAAGTGGAATTCGAAGATGTCGAAGTTCTTCGCCCATGTTGATCCTTCACATTGCCGGCCAATGGGAATCGCTCGTATAATTCATCAAACGTCGCCGTGGTGGGTTCGTCATAGATGACCCGTTTCTCATCGTCGGCCATTTGGTTCTCCTCATCTTCGTCCGTGTCCATGTCCACATCTGCTTGAGCATCATCGCTCGTGCTATCAGGGAAGAATTCTTCGATGCAGTTTGGAGTAGATTGAAGGAATGTGTCGGTGATGATACTATTTTGCTTGTTAACATTGAGATTGTTCGTATCCTTGACGGACGATATGTGTATGTGTGGCGGAAAATTGGTGAATACGTTATTCTTACTGTTACCACCATAATTTGGTGTGAGTATTGACATCGGGGTTATGGGTGTATTATACATGGATGGCTTCAGTGAGATACATGAACTTTCTCGAAGAGGATAGGAGTTGTGTCTTCGTGGTGGGGTTATGCAGTGGTGGTGGGAGGTTGGTAGCTTTGAGGAGGAGGAATGTATGCGTGGACGTGGGCGCGGATGAGAAAGCGTGCGATGATGATGATGATGATGGTGAAAGTGTTTAAGGCTGGGCAATCTTAGAGCTTCTATTCTTATCGCGTGACCGAGATTCAGTGATAAGGATGATGCGGAAGATTGTATTTGCTTCAAGAAGGGAGCCAGGTGTAGTTCAAGATCCGATTCGCGTACACGGAGATCATAGTCTAACAAGGACAATAACTGTCTTTCCATGAGGTTAACCTTGGCCACCGTGTATACAACCGAAAATTTGGCCCAATATTTATTTCTCGGAGAGGAATCATTCAAGTATTTTCTGTTGAGAGCAAAAGGTCGAGTGAGATGCGAGATCAGTAAGAGGATAATTTAGACTGCCATCTGAGGAGTAAATAAACGAGATCTCTCGGGTAACTTACGATGCGACTATCAGAGTAGCGAGAAACACCCGGTGACGCGTGCAATGCATCCCTATAAGAAAAAATTTAAGAAGGTTAGTTAATTGAGAATCGGAATGATAATGGTAAATAAGGGGCATCGGTTGAACCGGGCGATTGGGGTTATGAAATTCGAAGAGAGTAAGAAAAACAACATTGACATCTCTCGTCGAGTCCTTAGAATGGCGGCTGGTGAACCAAGTCACACCACCATATCATGTGATTCTAAAGAGCCCTCACTTATTAAGCCACTCGACGAAAGTTTGACGACCAGAGTATATGTGTGTGTGTGTATTTTTTTTTTTTTTCCGGTTCTTTCCATACGTGGATCATAATCATTACGATCGAGGTGGCATCGAATGAGAACAGAATGGATACAAACCTCTTGCAAGTTTTGGCAACTTATTTCTCAGCCTCGCCAAGTAGACGAGGGTTGTGAGAAACGTGGCGGTCGATACGTTCGACTTTATCACCAATCGTTGTATGAACGACAAAAGGGGGGGTAGAGGCTGTTGGTCTTCTTCGCCAAGCGTATGGGAATGCGTCGTGATTGCAGTGTGAGTTGTGGTGACATTGCCACCGCTGCTATTGGCATTTCCTGTGACGACGGTACTGGTCGTCGCCGTCGTCGGTGTCGGCGGTTTTGCTTGCGAGGAACCGTTTAACTGTGGCGGAGGGTCACAAGGAATCACTTCGGCCGCTTTTTGAGCAACATGAGCTAATTTGAGTAATTGAAGTTCCAAGGTTAATTAACGAAAAGTTATCGAAGACGCGCAGAAGCGGGCCGGTCAAATGAATTCGATACCAAGCACATACCAATCATCTGATGAGTAATGGGACCACTGATCAAGAATTTAATGGCGGCTGTACTGGACATTGTGTGATTTATCCTTCTGCTCTCTCAGCGAAGCAAAGAAAAAGATAAGTTGTTTGATTCGGTCTGTTCTGACTGACTGAAAGTAAAGATTAAGTCGATTTATAAATCCCAGAGGAATATATCATACGGGAGGAGAATGTATCTTGATTATTATTTTTTATTGTATGTACGTCTATGTATAAAAGTTTTTTTTTTTGTTTGAACGCCGTTTTTAAAAAAAAAAAAAAAAAGGTGGAACGGGTATTTATAAAGGTTGAAAGGTGGAAATAGCAAATCGGAGTGACCAAATGAAAAAAAATCTGATTTAGTATAAAAAAAATCGCGTTTCTTCCGCGATTTGATTGATGATGAATGGAGAAGCAAAAAAGTCCTATTGATAATAATTAAGTAGCAACAATAACCATCACACATATATAGTATTCGCTTTCATGGAAGACAAACGGTTGAGGTCAAGCGTCCGGTTGTCCTCTTTCTTGAGTACGACGAACAAAATGGTGTTTTGTTTTGTTTTGTATAGTTCAAAAAAAAATTTCGACTTTTTTTTTTTTGGTCAGGACACAGAAAGGAATTTCTGTGCCTTTATATTAAATTATTCGGAATTGAATTTTTTTTATATAAAAGATTAAATCCTTATTATTCTACAACGCTTTGTTATACAGCACTGTATAAAAAAAAAAAAAAAAGGTTCTACGTAAGATCAGGAGAACCATAAAAAATTTTTTTATATTAGATTTACTATTATTATTGTCGCTACTACTACATATACATTATTATTACATTTATAAGTAATTTCTACAAAAAGATATTTATTGTATGTATAAGTTGAAATTGATGTATAAAATAAAATAAAGTAAAATAGACAATTGAGAAAAAAAAAAAAAAAAAAAAAAAAATTTTTTTTTATACGTGTAAATGATATTATGTCAATAGGCACTGTGTATCATGATGATTGATGAATTGATGATGATAATTTAGTTGGCAACAAATGGGATGGACAACTCGGACGTCTAATACTATGTCTAATGCAAAGTCAGAGTCAAATCTTTGGTTCGCACATAATTTGATTGATTAATGATTAGCCGAGTAATTGGTTTTTCATAAGATGGGTAATTTGCCGAGATATTAGTTCTCATAATAATAATAATAATAATAATAATAATAATAATAATAATAATAATAATAATAATAAAAATAATAATAAAAATAATAATAATATAGTAATAATTTTTCATTGCCCCCCGGCTAGCTTCGTTTATCAAATTAATAAACTGAAACTCCACATATTCGATTCGTGTGAGAGACTAGCACTCCCACCCTCTCTCTCACACCCTCTCACCGTAACAAAATGGTTGATTAACATCAAAGGAAAATCGACGGTGATGTTATTACACAACGCCCCTTCTAACAGGAAAGCAAACAATTGTGGCGAATAATTGTAGCAAACATAACGACCACCGTCGACACCTTAATCCAAAAGGAAACGACAACGAGAAACAGAACAACGAGGCGAACCACACTTTATCACCATCTTGGAATTTATTGCCAATATTACCATACAATACAACAATAGATTCCTAGTTTCGTCGCAGATGATGTAAGCCTGGTCGGGCAAAGCCATAAATGGTAATATCATCGAAATGGCACATTCCTTTATTATTGGCATTAATGCGCCCATACGGTTAATAATGCCATGTTTTATTTTTGAAATCCTGCCGCAGGACCTGACCGTCCATCAATCTTGACCTCTTTCTCGAACAAAACATTAATTAAAACTCGCACTAGACATATCGAGACCTTCATGCTACCACCCACATGTATGCTATTGTCGAAACTTGCGTTTTCCCAACTTTTCCCCTTGTTCTCTCAACAAATAATATCTATTATTATTACCATCGTTGAGGTAACCGATTAGCTGGTTTGTTTGGTCACCACAACGGCAATTTCTCGTAACAGTAATTCGCGGTTGGTGGGGGGAGATGATTTGTCGTGTGACGATTCCACAGAGACAATTGAAAACGCATACAAAACTGTTATGCTGTTTCCGGCGTTGTTGGAAAAAGGAATGCGATTAAACAAAGCACACTCGCTCACTCTGTTACAGTTAATGCCATGATTGATGGTGAAGGCCGGTGGCGTGTCATCATGGGTGAGTCAAATGTGTGCATACCACATCGACTTCGTGTAATACGTGGAATTCACCATCACCATTAGAGGCCTGAATCTTGCCTACATTACGTACATGGCACGTTTATTGCGTGCACACATCTCGTATTGGAAATAATTAATCATTAATTAAGTCGATCATCAGTGCCGTAGTGCCACCGGTTGGTCGGTCAACGGGCTTAGACCTACCGATATTCCAGAAAGGAGTTTCTTTTTGCCATCCGCACGCCATTACGTACAATTTCCTCATGTCGCCCAAATAAACTCTCAATAGCATATATTTTTGGCTTCAACGGTAAATTGAGTCGCATCTCGTCCCGCCCTTGTTTGAACGTCATCAACTCGGTTGACCCTCAAGAACCCTTCCACCTCCTCCGGTTATCAGTAGGAGTTCACCAAAAAAAAAAAAAAAAAAGGGGAGAAGAAAACGGGAGAGATTCTTGATGGAAGAATTCACAACCCTTGGTCATGCGCAACCCCCGTCGTTGCGTCATTACTAACATTCCGGTCAACTTCTGTGCGACGCTTCGTCCCCCACGGAGAACCTTCGGTTCCTACCGTGTCGTGGGGTCGACGGAATGTTCTTCGAAGCGGCCACGGGTAAACCTGTTCAATGGACGTCTCGTGTCGCTCCTTAAAAAGCAGGTTGTTGCTTCTTTTCAACATAATGCTTTTTCATTTTCTTTTCTTATGGTGCTATAATATCATTGCCTACACGTGTGCGTCTATTAAACACAAGGAGATCAATTCCACAATTCGTAACCAAAATCAAATAATAATTTTTTTTTTTTTATTATTATTATCTTCGTCAAATCCTGCTTTCCATCTGGATTTGCAACCGGAATCATACAGTCTCAAAGGACGGATTTGTGATCAACGGTTCCCCCAATCACCCAATCAAATCCCAAACACCAAAAATATTCCATTGCGTACTTCCTTAAAATTCGCACAATCATTTCTCCCATGAACGATTGCGTATCACACAAGATTATTCCTTAATTCTAAATGCAAATTGTATATTACTGGAAACAATGAAATAAAATAAAATAAAATAAACCACGAAGTGAAGAGGTGAAATGTTTGTGAGATTTGTTAAACGGTCAATTAACGATGGGCTATTAAGGGAATGATAATAAAGGAATGTTGGAATCGTAAAATCCGCTGTCCGGTTTTTGTTTTTTTTTTTTTTTTTTTAGAACAATACGAAAAAAGGGAAGCAAGCAATCAAATAAGAACATTTAATAAAAGGAAATGGGTCACCGTTGAATAATTAAAGAAAATAGGTTACGGATAAGGATATAATAATAGAAGGAAAATTGGGTGACGATGAGGGTTAATGGTGTAATCTTTTTTTTTTTTTTTAAAAAAAAAGTAGATGGGAGAATAAGAGACAATAGTGATACCAATAAAGAAATAATATTATTAAGAAAATATCATTTAAGGTTTGTTTCCACGTATAGTAAAGGAATTGGAAATTAAGAAATTAGTTACGTAATGAACCGCCGTTAAGAGAGGTTTAATGGAAGACGAAAATAGTAACAACCAGTGGTAAATAAACAGGAATCCTCATTCATTCCCCACCGGCAAATTTTTTCAATGGATCACTAGGAAACTGGGGAAAGCACTATGATCAACGATAAGAGGTCGATCGCCTATAAAGAAAATTGTTGGATTTATCAGGGAGGTCAGGGAATAGCGAAAGCGCCAACAATAAAGTCATAGGTCGCATATGGAAACCCTATAGTAAGTGTTCTAATGTGAAAATGACATTAATGAAATCTCCATTAAAAGAAACCATTACCATTGAAAAAGAGAGACCGTCGATAAAAGGAAATATCACTGGCTGGTTGATTCGAATAAAGAAGGTGTCAACGAGGAATAAAGTGACTGGCTAAACTTTAATTAAAGGAAACTCGACCAACCATCGTCATCTCCGATCCTAAACGGTGATCGTTGGACGTTGGGGAATTCCAAAAATTTTTTCTTCACCCCCACCTTCGCGGAACAGCCTTTCGGCGCCTTCGCTCTCTTGGTGCGTCGATTTTTTCCTCACCGAACTACGCACCCTTGCACAAACTTCTTGGCGATCTTTGATTCGATCAGGTGGTTTTCGCATGCCAGCAACCGTCATTTTTCCAGTGACCGATAAAGGGTTACGTAATAGAAATTGTACATGCTTATTAACGAAAAATTAAGAAATACATAACATGCATGCATCTTTGATGTTAATAAAGAAGCCATTATTCTCATATTCTCATTGGACTACCATGCGAGAATTTCGTTGGTAAAGAAACGTGTGCGATTCGTCAAATGTGTCCATCTCCTCGAACTCTTCTCGAGTTTTCGAAGATTTCCCGTGTGATTCCTTGCGTGCATATATACACTGGCACCGTGCGATGATGCCTTGTGCAGAATGAATTATCAACGGTGTACACGCAGACTTCTTTCACCTGAACTTTTTTCCCTTATATGCACTTAAATACCGGTGTGACAAATAGAACCACCATCATACGGCAGGTCCTTCAAACGACCGCCAAACGCGTTTGTTTCCGTAGCGGTCGATTGACGTTCGATTTGCAACATCGTTGAACGGACTTTGTGTTATGTTTCTGTCGCATCTCGACCGTCCCTCCTGTCACCCATCTGCCTGCGAATGAACGTGTGGCACTCTGCCCGGTGGGACCGTCCCTTTTTAAGAATAAACACAGTATGGTGGGTGGTAGGTAGGTAGGTAGGTGCCGTGGTTTGCACGCACCGTGCGTGAATCTTTCTTCTATTGATAGAATTCATCAAAAATTCTCACGAAATCAAATCGATCACGATTGACCGGCATATTAAATGGAACCTCAATTAACAGAGATGGAGCACTTCTTTGAGGTGACGAAATTTCGATTCCCATGGTCAGTCCATTAGGATCAAAATTGATTCTATCAAATCCAAATTTATCTTTCCTTGATTCGCGATACCGAAAATCAAATTTATCTATTCCACCAAATCTTTCGTGTATCAGTATGATAGCATATTGAATATGAGGAGGGGAGGGGGGAGGGGAAAGAATTGTCATGAATTCGGTCAGAATACACCCTGTACACTTGATATCATATGCGATCCATGGAATCACCAGTTCAACGAAGTGCTTTATTTGATCGATATCATAATAAATCGATGTCGGGGTATTTGGAAAGTTGATCCTTCTGCCAAAACCGAAGCAACCCTCTTTGTCAACTTCTTTTTTGTGTCATTCGTAATGGGTTATTGTATCAACGGTTCGGCCATAGTAATAAATATGATAGTAAATCAATGATATATACGTATTTGGTTCAGGGTAGATCATATGTTGAGCTGTGACGTATTTTTATTACTTGGGGGGTTGCCTCATTTAAGCTGTTAATGAGACGCTAATACTAATAAAGTGTCGTCATGCAATTTCTGGGAACATGTATGCGCGTGGTCAAAACAAGTTAATCCAATAAAGTGCGTTTACCGTCGTTGAAATTAATCGTTCTGAATAGGTTACAGTTTTCACTAAAAAGAAACAAAAAAAAAAAAAAAAAGGATCACATATACACATCTATGTATCTATATATCTACATATATTTATATATATCTATATATACATATATGTGACCAAACAACGTTCACCGCATAATAACGTAACCCTAATATGTACGATATTAAATAACAATGGTAAAATGTGTAATAATTACGAAAAAAGGTATCGTAAATAAGCAACTAACATGCAACCACGACATCACCTAATATAAATAAGGAAGCTTGTGGAATGAATTTAAAATGAGTAAAAAAAAAAAAAAAAAAAAAAAAAAAATTATCACAGTCGGAAGGGGGATTTGACAACGTGACGCCTGGTTATTATTCGGTCCCTTGCCGACAAACATGAGCATTTCACGAACAAGTTTCTTTCTCTTAAATCTGTAATGAGTACACACGCCCGGGCACCATCAATCTTTTTTGCGCAATGGTTCTCTTTCTTTTAAAAAATAAGAAAGAGGAATCCGATTAAATACGAACTTATTGAAATTCACCAAAAAGTCAATTATTATAGTGACATGGATATTAAATTTTGCCATAAACGTCCGATAATAATAATAATAATAATAATAATAATAATAATAATAATAATAATTAATAATAATAAGTAATAATATCGAATGCTCATGTGTTTGGTAACAAATTCCTGAGTATACATACTCCTTTATATACCCTATATTTAACTTTGTTCAACGTGAACCACTAAATCACGGTATTATGATCTTTAAATGGCAGTTTTAAATGGAATCTCGGAAATTTTACGATTCGACACTCTTAGATGAATATACAGTGCATACAAGTGTATGTTACTGTACGGCATGCACATAAATTCGAAATATCAGGGCTCGCCAAGTTCCGAGGTCAGAATTCCCTGGGTGGAAGTGGAAAGGGAAACACCCTCATAAAAACCCGTCTTCCTGATGTCATCAGAAGTAGGCTCAGCGTGACTCACGTATGGGAATAAAATAATCATAGATTGAAATCATGAAATTTGAATATAATCGAATAATAATAATTACTTCAAGATTACTTAAATAAATCATTAAATAATTAATTATTGTTGTGGTCGTTTATAATTTTTCTTATAGTTGATTTGCTTGTTTAACAATCGTGGTAGAATGGACGTTTCCTCAGGACGAAGAACGTGGCCGCAAAAGTCAACACGCACAATCAGCAAAACAAATATATTATTTTTATTATTTTTCATTAATGATGCATATGTGATTGAGAAAAATTTCTGATTTCATTTTCGATGCATCCTGATGTCCAAAAATCGGAACGGATGGCGATTAGAATGCATATGGTCATGTGGTAGCGTTGGCAAGGGATCGACGTCACCGCTGACTATATACCGTACATACTGTATACTGTATATACTATATATACTGTACATGTCTCGTTGTATCCACCTAATTAATGCCATCAGGTCCAATGGTAATCGTTAATATGCATGGGCAATGGGATGAATGATAAACCTGTGGAATTTCAGAAGAAACATGGCATACACAGTATGTAATAATGTATTATCATTGCACACTCTTCATTAGCGTTAATTAAAAAAAGGAGAGTTCCATATTCCTAGCCCCAGAGAGCCAAAAAGAAAAAAATCGGTAGTCATCGGTAACCACATATTCCTCGACACTGAATTGTCGCAGGGAAAAATGTAAACAACATTCTATGCCACTGGAAATGGTGCGAATAAATAGCATCAAACACATACGGTGCATTAATGAAATTAGGAAATTAATAAATGGGAGTATTTGATGCACAACCAATTAATTTTAGATCGAAACTTCACAGCGTCCACCGTGGCATTCAGTGTCGGCGTCGATAATTAATTGACTAATCATTCATTCATTCTTAAATTATTGATTCGCGTCATGACACCTCTTGTTCACTTGATTGACCGATGTTCACCGTCTACCGAGTAAAACCATTCGATGCCTACCCGCCATCTCATACAATCAATCGTTTCACCGTTGCGCCCCGGCATGTCCTTTATTTGTCCACATTTGCCTTATTGCTGCTCATCCGTTGTCACCCGTTTTGAACATTCAATTCTTATTCGCCTCGTTCTTTTGTAATCTCATCATTGTCATTGGATTATTCGGTAACTTCACACTCGGGCCATGAGTCAATTGATTGTTCAACTTATCTAGACATTTCAAGTTCGGATTCCCGAGTATGGAAAAAAAAAAAACCAAACCAAAAACAAAAACGAATGGTTTTGGATTTGTTTCTTTTTTATTCTTTTTCTTTTTCTTTTTGCTTACAGCACGGTGCGAGAATCAAAAAGTCGACTCCCCCATTAACCTCTCAATTCTTCTTCCCTCCTTCCTTCTTTCCCATTCTATTATTCGACCTCTCATTACTCTTGTGGAACGTCTCAATAATCTAGATAAATTTAGCAATCCTTCGTCATCTGTGCCCCCCACAATGGAAGGTTGTTTCTTTAATCATTTCGTCTTTCTATTTGTCATTTCCGCAATCAGAATCTAGCACCTTAAAAAGTCAAATAATGAATTAAAAGCGATGTGCACATGGATATTTGTGCAATGTATTCCTATCCAAATATGTACATCATGACATCTCGTCCGTTGCGAAAACAATCCAATCCTTACCCGCCCACCGGCAATCTCCTCTCATTGGCTTCGGCACCTTCCTAATGTGGAAGTTCCCGTTGACCTTTCGGTGTTCGCCTGCCCTGCCGCCAAGGTGAACCTCTTCCCCAACGCAATCTGTGTTGGCGTTCTTTCATATATACTGTATATTCTCGTTGACTCACGATCACGTCTTCCCTCATTCGATTGTTGCAGCCGTCTGCAAAATGACATAAGAAGATGATGGGGGGTCGGTCTTGGAGTCAAGATGCTGGAGATTGGCTGGACCGTTTTTATTTACAGATCGATGTGATAAATCGAAGTTACAATACATCGTTACAAGTTTTTTTTTGGTCAATGATATTGCCCTGTATACAATCTAGAAAGAGTTGAATTGTCGAATAAAGAAATCTGATAGTTGTTTATCAAACATGTGATGAATTTCTGAATTGAATGAGTATGATTGAATAGGCAAATTTGCGTTAGAAATTGAACATGCTGAGAGAGTTAAAAAAGTACACGCGCGGTAAACATCCAGGGAACAAAGGAGTAAGTTTTATTTCGGAGTTGGAGGAGGATGCTTGATGACAAATAAGGAAAAATGGAACTTCGAATTTGAGAAATAATACACCGGACATACAGTAGGATGGTGTCACCGACGGTAAACAGTGCAGTGTAATAAAAAGCATCCGACTTTTTTTTTTTTTATTGCTCAGCTGAGTCACAAAGTCATTTGGAGAATGAGGTGAAAAAGCAAAACTCTCCGTCTCTGTATCACCACCACGCCGCGGTAAAGGGGAGTTCGTCCGAAGCGAGCTTTTTTTGGTGATCAGGGGGGGGGGGGGAAGGAACACGAATTTTACGCATAATGAAATTTCAAATCGCCAAACGATCAATTACTCTTTAAATCGACCGCGGATATTATGTATCGCCAGCGTTGGAGCTGAGTCAGCAGACAAGAGAAAAAGAAGAAGAAGAAAAAGAGCAAGGTGATTTGTGTGATTGAATGAACGACAAATTACTTTTGTGGTGGTTGAAATTCGCATGTACTGTACGTAGCTTTGCAACATACGGTCAAAAATACCGCACGTACCGTGCGTAAGGTGCACACGCGTCACACTTTGACGTCCCAATTGACTCACGCACCATTATCATCAAGCGTTTGTTGGGAAAACTGGATTACCGCTAAATAAGGTCATCGACCATATCTCGAGATCCCAAATACAAGCGATTTGATGGGCCCAAGATACTGTTGAGAAATCGTGGTCAGAAAATGGAAATTCATTTATTCTGCGATTAAGGCACGCAACATGTTTTTTCAACCAATGATGTAATTCATATGACATTCTGACAATTTTTTATTTTTATTTTTGTTCATTGATAGAATGCCCAACGGCGATTGGTTTTGATTTGGAACCATGATTTTGTAATGAGAAATAACCGGTTCAAGGATTGCACGAACGAAAGAACTTACTTGATGATCAAGCACGTTCGCCTGACGTTTGTCGTTCATAAATAATCTCCGACAAAGAATACAAATCGCATTTCGAATAAAGAAAATTTCCCAAGAACTCAGGGACCACTGCTCCAATGACGAAGAATTAAATATTAATATTTCATTTGACAACGTTTCAAGGCATGCGAGCAATATTCTACAGAGGAAAATCTTGCGTCCATCTTTAACATCATCATTAATGCCTTAATTATTGGGCAATGTTGCACCTTCGCCTGGTCTATGATATTTCAGATCGGCTGACTTCGTATGACAATCACACCTTCGATCGTCCGATTACGGAAGGGGTCATTATCCGTACACTATAATTAGCACATGAGCTACCCTTTTTTTCATTCTCCAACTTCTATTCTCCATCAATAATCAAACATTCCGGTCTAAATGCTTTGATGCAATATCTAAGCCCCGAGAAACAAAAGGAGAAAATTAAGTTAAATTGTGCGATTTCGCTAAATTCCGGATGGCCGCGCTAATGGAAAACAGAAACTTTATTCGAATGAAAATAAACAAATTTAATTAATTAAACTATTAATTAATATAATTTATGAAAAAAAAAAGAAAAGATACGCCGTATACTGTACACCCGCCCCTTCAAGTACCATTAATACTGTACAAAAATTATTAAGAAATGGATTTGTCATGGAAAAAAAAAAACAAAAAACATAAAAAAAAAAAATAAAAAATTTTAAAAAAAAAAAAAATATGAAATAGCTAAAGCAGAGTCGATAAGTAAAATGGATAATAATTAAAATAGAAATACTGTAGATAATAATTAGATAATAAATTACAAAATCAAATAATTTTAAATGTGAAATGATATTATTCAAGTTTATTCCTATATACAATATAAACTATTATATATAAAATAATAGTAATAGTAATAGTAATAGTAATAAAATGAT